ATTGTGGGTCCACTATGGGTTAAACACAATCTCTTAAGTCTTTTACAGCTCCTCACTAGTCTGGGCTAATGCCATTGATGACTGGGAAGATGACTCCGAGACCCAGCAATATCTTCAATCTTCAAATATTAAATTTTGTTCATTAATGTAACTTACTATACTGCACTCATTAAGGCAGGAAATTGGATTCACGGGGATCCCTCGGTGGCTCCGCGGTTTAGCTCCGCCGTCGGCCCAGGGCCTGATCCTGGAGTCCCAGGATTGAGTCCCATATCCGGCTCCCTGTGTGGAGCCTGCTTCTCCCTCTGCCTGTGTCTCTGCCCCTCTCTGTATCTACCATGAATAAATAAATAAAATCTTTTTTTAAAAAAAAGGAAATTGGACTCATAGGATTTCCAGCCATAAATTTTGAAAAATAATACGGTTTTTATTTTTCAGGTACCCAGACAAAAAACAGTCACAATACACTATACTCAAACCCAGTGAAAAAAGGATTGGGCATGATGATGTGTTATTGCATTGAAAGTAGCCAAAAATGATTGCCCATGGTTTGGAAATGGTTTTGTTTTATAGTAAATTTGTGATACTAGAAACTGATGTAGAGTGTTTGTTGTTATTCAGTATATTCAGCCACCCAGACCAGTGGGTGACCTTAACATGGTAAGTGCTTAAAAATTTTTTTTTGTCTAAATACAAGAATGAATGTATATCCTATATATTTTAAATATATTAAACCTATTTTATTACCAATTGCTCCTGATAATCTGTTTCCTTTTTGTCTTGTGCTCCTACTCATTGAATCATTTGAACTTATTGCTTCAGGGGAAGACAGATATGGCCTAGAACAAACGTATCATTGGTCATCCCTGAATTTCAAACTGTAATTTTTTTAGTGTATTGTGAGAGGATAGTTTCCAAAGCTGGGTTTTGATGAAGGTAAAGGTTCCCTTTACATACCAAGATAAAAATGTGTTGGTGTGAAAATAGAAGTTTACCATCAGCCATTGTGTAGAGAGGATGGGAGATCCTAACATAAGGGGGATTTCTGCCACTCAAGAAACCAAAACCGTTGTGGTGCTTGGAGGAGATTGGAAATATATTTGGGGAGGATGTACTTATGCTTGAGATGATGATCCCACATCTGGGCCACAGAAGGGGCTGGTATTGCTTTTCCTGTTTATAATTCTTGGAGGGGATTACATGGTGCCCTGTATCAACACAAAGTAGCCACAGTTGAGTAGAGATGGCACCATGGCATGATAAAGCAGAGGTCTGGGGATAGTGTACCTGGTCCTGAAGGGCTGTAAAGAAGATCTTAAGTTCTCATGTGCCCTGATCAGGGATGAAAGAGTAAAGAAAGTATAAGTGGCTCAAAAGAGGCCTGGATTTAGAAGAAATGGATGCTGAGTGCAGGAATCTTACCATCAGAGTAATGCAAGTTTTATGGTCATGAGCAGTAGCTTCCAACATGATTCCTCAAAAGCCAGGTGGCTCTGAGACATTATGTAGTGGTCACTTATACAAAACTCACAATGATCAGGTATGGTTAGAGGCAAACTCAGCAGAAGTCACAAAGGAACCAGAGACCAACATGCAATACAGAGATTCCTTCTCCAGTGCAGTGAGGTTTATATAAACTTTCCTCTGTACCCCAATGCCATCTTGAGGAAGGAGAGGAGAAGCTATTTTGAGAAAATAGAGGCAGCCTTATTAGGAAGTTTGAACTTTAAATTGATTAAATATTAACCTGACAGATACTGGGAGAATTAGGGCTTCCAAACAAGATGAAGTCAGATATAGAACATTAGGTTGATTTTTTTGGTTACTGAGTCAATTTGTAAGTTTGTACTTCCTCTAACAAATGCACTCTCTGATTCTTTCTAAACTAAGGCAAGACTCATCTGCCTTTCCAACTCAGTACTAAGTTTTACTTTTTATTTATTTTCCAAGTCTTCCTTTATATTTATTTTTCCAGTTATATTGAGGTATACATGGCAAATAAAAATATGTACATTTAAGGAATTCAGTGTAATGATTTTATATATATATATATATAGTGAAATGATTACCACAATCAAACTAACACATCCATCACTTCACATAATTACTTTTTTGTGTTAAAACACTTAAGATATACTTTCTTAGCAAATTTGAGGTATACAATATTGTTAACCATGCTGTGTATATACAGTCATCATCCTGTATATTAGATGTCCAGAACTTATTAATCTTATAACTGAAATTTTTACCCTTTAACCGACATCTCCTATTTACCACACTCTCCCTAGTCCTTGGAAACACCATTCCTCTGTGCTTCTCTGAGCTCAAAAGTCTTCCTTTTTATATAATTACTCTGGGAAAAGTATGAAGGGTAATGAAATGACAAGAGACAGGTTCTTTATTAAAATGCAGATTCCTTTGGAAGTAGTCACACCTTAAAATTGTATCAATTAATACTAAATTATGAGTTAACAAAATAGTTGTCCACTAACATCTCAGTAGAGGTTTGGGAGGATAATAAAGACTAGGCAGTTTGAAGAAGGTGGTTAAGAAGGAATTAAGAAATGGACCATCTGGGTGGCTCAGTTGGTTAAGCATCTGCCTTTGCTCAGGCTGTGATCCCAGAGTTCTGGGATATATCCTGCCTCAGGCTCCCTGCTCAGCGTGGACCCTACTTCTCCCTCTGCCCCTCTCCCTACTCATGCTCTCTCTTGTGCTCTCTCTCTCTCTCAAATAAATAAACAAAATGTTTAAAAATGAAGGAATTGTGAAGTGGGTATAGTTTTCATTATGTATCTGAGGTTGCTTAGATAATATTTATCACTCAGTTCTTCATTCACAGGAGAGGACTTGTTATCAAGGCAATACTATGAAGTAGGTAAGAACACAGACTTTGGAGTCAGACAAGCCTGGATTCAAATACTAGCTATATCACTTTGAACTAGTGACCTAGCCCATTTTAGCTTCAATTTTCTTATCTGTAAAATGGGGGAAATACTATGTATGGCAAAGTATTGGTGTAGGGAATAAGTGCAATCTGAAAACTTCTAAGAATAATATTTGAAATACACAGAGGAACACATAGACATGGCCAACAAACACATAAGAAAATGCTCTGCATCATTTGCCATCAGGGAAATACAAATCAAAACCACCATGAGATACCACCTCACACCAGTGAGAATGGGGAAAATTAACAAGGCAGGAAACCACAGATGTTGGAGAAGATGTGGAGAAAGGGGAACCCTCCTGCACTGTTGGTGGGAATGCGAACTGGTACAGCCACTCTGGAAAACTGCGTGGAGGTTCCTCCAAGAGTTAAAAATAGATCTGCCCTACGACCCAGCAATTGCATTGCTGGGGATTCACACCAGAGATACAGATGCAGTGAAACGCTGGGACACCTAAACCCCGATGTTTCTAGCAGCAATGTCCACAATAGCCAAACTGTGGAAGGAGCCTCAGTGTCCATCGAAAGATGAATGGATAAAGAAGATGTGGTTTATGTATACAATGGAATATTACTCAGCCATTAGAAATAACAAATACCCACCATTTGCTTCGAGGTGGATGTAACTGGAGGGTATTATGCTGAATGAAATAAGTCAATCGGAGAAGGACAAACATTATATGGTCTCATTCATTTGGGGAATATAAAAAGTAGTGAAAGGGAATAAAGGGCAAAGGGGAGAAAGTGAGTGGGAATTATCAGTGAGGGTGACTGAACATGAGAGACTCCCAACTCTGGGAAACAAACAAGGGGTGGTGGAAAGGGAGGTGGGCGGGAGAATGGGGTGACTGGGTGACGGGCACTGAGGGGGGCACTTGACAGGATGAGCACTGGGTGTTATGCTATATGTTGGCAAATTGAACTCCAACAAAAAATTTTTTTTAAAGACCGAGGGTGGCTGGGCTGAGGGCAGAGCCATGAAATGCTTCAAGAACTCCAGAAAACTAAGGACTGGCTTGTCACACAGGAAAGAGTTTTGCATCAATCTACTCTGTCTCAGAGGAATGCAAGGGAGGAGGAGGAGGTCGGTCAGAAATCAAGACCAAGTGGCTTTTCTGAGTACCTGGAAATCTGAAAGGAAGGTGACCTGGGCCTGTGGCAGACCTGCCCTAGGCCCAGCCCTAGGCCACCAGCTGTTCACCCAATGAGCACCCCCCCTCCAACTCCCCTGTTCCTTGACTACAACCCCTTCTACCCTTAAGACTCAAGCTTTCTATCCAGGATGAGCAGTGCATGTCACAAGACAGCAAGGAGCAGAAAGAACAGATAACAAGGACAATCTCCCACCCCAAAGGCCTCTTCAGCTCCCTCACCTGTCCTAGGACCCAAAGGCTGGTTGGTTTTAGCACCCTGTTTTAACCCCCAAATCAAGAGCTGTCCTTCATATGAGGAAGTGTGAGGGCACCAGCCCCCGGCAGCAGTGGAAGGCAGAGTGACAGCATTTCCCAGGATATAGTTCTGGAAACATGTCTTCAGTGCAGGAGGCACCAGAAGAGGAGTGCAGGCTGCCTCCATGCGGTAAGTGGAAGGGATAGTTCCCAGGCCTTGATGACAAGGCTCCTGTGCAGGGCACTCGCTCTTGGGGGGAAGTGGAGGAGATGGCATGGCCAGAAGAAGGTGTCTGGAAACAAGAGAGAAAAGGAAATGCTCATCCGCTTTCCCACCTGGCCTGAAGAGCTCAGTTCTGGAGCACGGCATGGGGAAGAGGCTGGCGGACCAACTGGAGTCCACAGAGCAGGAACCCCACAGGTAGAACTCAGGACAGAGGTGGTTCAGGGAGCCTGGGCTGAGGACAGGAAAAGTGCAGGAAAACAGCTGGCGCAAAATGTTAGGTAGTAGGGCTGTGCTCCACAGTGACCCTCTCAGCTCCGTTCACATGGAGCTCCCCGGCCAACGTCCCAGCTCTCTGGTCTGTGTCAGCCACTGTGGCAGGCATGGGGCAGCCTCACACACTGTAGGCGGCTCCAGCTGGCCTGATGCCTGGCTTCTGCTACCTCTGCATGATGTCACTGATCTCCTTCACGGAGCTGAGGAGTTTGCTGAAGTCCTGAGTGGCCGCTGGGCCACTCCCTGCTGTCGCCGGGCAGATCTGAAGTTCCCGGAGATTATTCTCCAGTTTGTTGATGGCCTCACGGAAGGCGAACTTGTTCCTCATTTGCTGGATAGAATCCACGTAGCTCACACAGAATGTGTAGAGATTCTTGCCGGCTTCAGGTACAGCGCTGTGGCTGGCCATCTGCTCGGAGTTCTTAGAGATGGCGAGGCACAGAGCCTCTGTGCCATCCAGGACCACACCTTTGGTGATGGTGCCACTGGCGATCCGCTCAGGAGGCTGCCGGGTTTTCCGAAGAGACACACGGGTTGATATGAGAGGGATGAAGGCAGTGGAGGCTGGCTGGTCCACAGCCAGGGCAGAGGATGCGGATGACAGCGTGGAAGGGGCGGAAGCCGGGCTGGCTGGGGTCCCCGCCGGCTTGCCGGACGACTGCGGCTTTGGCATGGATGGGAGCACGGGCTTTTTGACGCCTTCTCCCAGCAGACCGGGCTTGACGGTGTCACTGTTCACAGCATCCACAACCACTGCTGCGGCTTTGGCTTTCCCGGCAGTGCTGGCCTCCCCAGCTGCTTCCTGGCTCAGGCTCTGAGAAGGCTTCCCGGCTTTCCCAATGGAAGCTGGTAGTGGAGGCGGTGGGACAGGTTTGAGCTTGGACAGTTTCCCCTTGTCTCTCCCTGGGGACTCGGAGGAGGGTTTGTGCCTCCTGGCTCTGGGCTCCTCTGCGGGGGCTTTGCTGGCCCCTCCGGACATGTCTGGCCCTCCTCTGGTGGCAGGGGTCCCCAGCTCAGCTGTGGTAGGGGCCCCCAAGGCACTGGACTTCCCGGCCTCGTCTTTGTGGGGAACGCTGGAGGAAGGAGCCCCCGACACCTGCTTGCGGAGGAGTTTTGGAGTCAGACTGGGAGGGCTGGAGCCTGGACTGGACTCCCCATGTCTCGAAAGACCTCATCTGCTGCGTCCTCAGTCTTTTTCACCAGCTGGGGTGGGGGGGGTCACTGTGCCTCTGGTCACCTGGTCAGACCTATTCTCACTCGCCCGTTTCCGAGGCAGAGCTGGCTTCTCGCTCTTGTGCTCTCCAAATGTGGACGAGTCGAACTGCCTCCCTGTGGACTGCAAATCCCGAGGCAGCGTGACAGACCTCCACTCTGTGTCCTTGGCCCCGTGGGGCACACATGAGGCCGAGCAGGACCTCAGGAAGCGCTTGCTGGAGCTGCCGCCACTCTCCTCCTCATTGGCGGCAGCGTACTGGTCAGTGTACTGGACTTTTTCCACAGGTGGGGAGACCGGAAGCCTGGTCCCCCCGACTCCCGGAAGGCTCCATTCGGGACACCCGCCCCGCTGCTGGGCTTTGGGGACTTGGCTGGCTCGGCTGCGTCCAGGGTGGTGAGGGCTGGCACCCCATTGCTGGTTTCTCGGCCCTCCTCCTCAACGGCTGCCTTGCGCTCGGGCTGGCCGTCCATCTCCCGGAAGGAGCTGCTGCGTTTTGGGGCTGTTGGGACCATTTTCTTCTTCTTTTTGATCAAGGCACTGAACAAGTTGGTTTTTTTGTCTTTGGGGAGAAGGCGCTCATCTTCATTTAGGCTGCTGTCTTGGGGACCCTGTTCTTTTCGAGGGAGCAGTGGAGACACAGGAGGCTCGTGATCCAGATGATCGGTCTCTCCTGGGCCCTTGGTGTGGGGCGTCTCAGGCACATCAGTGGGGTCTTTATGTTTTGCAGCTCTCCTGGATGACCTACAGAGGAGCCATATCACTTGCCTAAGCTCAAAGAGTTATGGCAGAAGCAGAGCAAAACTCTGTCTTCTGACCCATTTGTTTTATGTTCTTTTCACTAGATGAAACTTTCCCCTCATTAGAGCTCAACATCTCAAAGGAAGGACTGGGGCAGCTAATTCAGGCGTTTATAGACAGATTGAGTACATTTGTCTTCCTTCTATTTGTCATGGATATTTAGAAATTGTAAGAGAATGTACCAATCAGGGTCTCAGCAAGAAATAGGAAGGCATGCTCAAACTAAATAATATGAGGAGAATTTATAAAGGGGCTATTTACAAAGGTGTGGTAAACCACAGAAAGAGATAACAAAGTATTATCATCTCAGCCTGAAAGAACAACGAAGAAAAGAGAGTGTTCCAATGAGTGGTCTTCCTAACTGTAATTGTGACCCTTCCTTGAGGAATTTAATCAGTCTATGGGCCTATGGCATCCTGCAGGATAGAATAAAGGAATAGATATCCCAACTTCACTTTCTTCCCTCTGACCTCCTACTATGCTCTCCATTGTTCTAACTCAACAGGAAGCCAGAGAACAAGGAAACCCAGTGATGGAATCTATAAAAGTCAGTCTTCCAGAACACAGAGTAGGATAGAAAAGGATAGAGAGGCAAAGGGAAGATGTCCAACACAATTTGACAGGGGATAGGGAACAAACACTTATGGAGCAACTGTTACATTGTTACATTTCAGATATTATTCTTTAAAAAAATTTTTTTTGTTGGAGTTCAATTTGCCAACATACAGAATAACACCTAGTGCTCATCCCATCAAGTGCCCGCCTCAGTGCCCGTCATCCAGTCACCCCCACCCCCCGCCTTCCTCCCCTTTCACTACCCCTAGTTCGTTTCCCAGAGTTAGGAGTCTTCCATGTTCTGTCTCCCTTTCTGATATTTCCTATCCATTTCTTCTCCCTTCCCCTCTATTCCCTTTCACTACTATTTATATTCCCCAAATGAATTAGACCATATAATGCTTGCTTTTAAGGAATTTTTTATTTATTAGAGAGAGAAAGTGAGCAAGCAGGAGTGGGAGGAAGTGTAGAGGGAGAGGGAATAGCAGGCTCCCCACTGAGCAGGGAGCCCAACAGGGCTCTATCTCAGGACCCTGGAAAGGAGACTGATGCATCTCCAATCTTCCTTAAGAAAGAAAATAAGAAAAACAAAATAAACAAAACTAAACTAAAATTAAAAAGAAGGAGAAGGAGGAGGAGGGATGAGTGGAGGAAGGAGAAAGAACAAACTTTTACAAATGATAAGTGAAGCTTTTAAGCCTTCTAATCAATCTTTCTACCCTCAGATTGGCAGATTAGGACTCTTGACATCTGAATGATTTATTATGACTTAAAGTCCATACTTATAGCAATTCAGCTTGATTTCTTTACAACAGGAGGCAGTGGAAGGAGACAGATAATAGGCAGGAAACAAGACCAGTCACTGTAGAAATGAGAACTTAAATGGTGATTCTTCTATATGGTCTTGGCAGACATCAGAATTTTTTGTTGTTTCTATAGTTGTTTGCTTTGGAGAGTTTGTGAGACTGGGAAGAATAAAGAAGGAGCAGAATACACACTTAGACAAAAAGAATAATCAAGGCATATGAAGAGGCATATAATAGCAAGGCATGGTTTGGGATAAAGCAGTGAGACTGTGCATTGAGATCTATCATGTTCTAGGCCACTGTGTTGTGGACTTTATATATGTTACAAAACTTGGTCGTCGCAACAGCTATGTGAGGTAGAGATTATGATAATTTTATTTTTTTATTTTTTAAAGATTTTATTTATTTATTCATGAGAGACACACACACACACACACACAGACACAGACACAGGCAGAGGGAGAAGCAGGCCCCATGCAGGGAGCCTGACGTGGGACTCAATCCCAGGGCCCCAGGATCACGCCCTGGGCTGAAGGTGGCGCTAAACCGCTGAGCCACCTGGGCTGCCAGAGATTATAATTTTAAAGAAGAGGAAACAGGCTCAGAGGGGCTAAGAAACTTTGTCCAAGTTCACTCAGGTTTATCAGTAAAGGGAAAAAAACAGCATGCGAATCTAGGTTTAGTTAGTTTCAAAGTCTATACTTTCCAGAGACTGCTAAAGAATAATGTCATGAATTACCTCTGGTGATTTCATGGCATACAGATAGTTTAAAACAATTCATTCATGTACTCACTCAAGAAATATTATCTACCATGTTCCAAGCAATGTTCTATATACTGGGATACAGTTGTGAACAAGTCAGAAGAAATATCTACTTTTACATCCTAGAAACCTGCCTCCTAGTGAGGGGGTCAGATAATTAAAAAGTATGCAAATATAATTTTCTGGTAGCCATAAGTGTTTTGAAGAAAATTAAATAGGGAGAAATTGGGAGGTGGTCATAGGTGGTTTCTCTGAGAAAGTGCTGTTGAAGCTGACTCTAGAAAAACTCAGGAACTTGCCTGCAAAGATAGGAAAAAAGGAAATTTCTGACAGGAGTACAGCAAGAAATAGGAGGGGAGCCAGCTTAACTGGAGAGGAGAGAAAGAGAGAAGGTGATATAGATAACTGTAGATCATAATGAAGGATTTAGCTTTTATTCTAAGAATGATGGTGAGTCACTAGTATCCTCAACTACTTTTTCCACCCAGGTCTTCTTTTAAAAAGGATTTTATTTATTTGAGAGAGAGAGAGAGAGAGAGAGAGAGAGAGAGAGAGAGAGAAGCACAGGAAGCAGCAGAAGGAGAGGGAGAAGCAGGCTCTCTGCTGAGCAGGGAGCCCTATGTGGGGCTCAATCCCAGGACCCTGGTATCATGACCTTAGCTGAAGGCAGACACGTAACAGACTGTCACCCAGGTACCCCCACCCAGGTTTTAATGGAAGGATTTTCTGAGAATAAACTTGGTGATTACAGATTCTGAATGTAAATCTTAGCTACCTCTCAGAATTAATCAATATCCTTCATGACAAAAAAAACTTATTAAATGCCAATTTGTATATAGCACAAGGTTTCAGTTCAGTAGTTGCTACCCTATCTGTGTGTGTGTGTGTGTGTGTGTGTGTGTGTGTGTAGAATGTAGAGATAAGTGTGGTATGCATGACTACAAGACCTGGAAGGTCAGGAGGTGGGTGGGAATACCCACAGACCTCAGCAGTCCTCAGCCTGTCTCATCTCCAGCTTAAGGAACCATAAGCACTTTTCCTTGGTGCCTGTGGTTATTTCTTGGTCTACCTCCCTGCGTCCCTCCTGAGTGAAATGATGTCTTCCAGTGAAAAAGAAGGGAAGATGTTTGCATGGCTTTGAATCTTGCATTGGCAATTTCAGTGAATGCACAGGATATATTTACATGATGCTGGAAGCATTTACATGGTGCTCGAATTACATAGCTTGTGGAGAGGAGATTGTTTATTCAAACAAAGATTGAGAGGACTGATTTGATTTCTTAAATCAACCCAAGACTATGCGATTGTAGGGATATGTAAATTTTTTGCTCAATGGTGGAAGACTTCATCTTCCTATTAGAAAAATAGAAGGAAATAAGGTGCTTATACCTAGAAAGTGCAGTGAGAGGCTATGGTAGTTATTGATCTGCATGCTGGTTACACGAATATGCTCAATTTGTGAAAATTCAGTGAGCTGTCCAATTATGATTTGTGTTCTTTTATGTATATATTATACCTCAATAAAATTTTACAAAATGTGAACTAAACGAGATGGAACCTTGAAGGCATTTTCAATATAATAAATCCAGGATAGTTAATAGGCACTGCAGTAGGAGTTTAGAGACTTCGGTCCAGTATAAGCTCTTCCACTAACTCACATGAATGAATAATAATAATGCAGGGGTTTGAAGTAGCCCAACAAATTACATCTTTTCTTTTCTTCCTTCAGTTCTGAGGTGATAGAGACAAAGAAGTAAAGCAGGCGATCAAAATAGCTTTATTTCTGGTGGAAGTGCTAGAGAAAGTGATTTAGATATGTTTACCAAGTAGGCTTCTTAATTCTGAACTTCAGAATTAGGCAGAGATACCCACCCAGAATAAAGAAATTCAAGAAAGCTGTAGGTCTTGCCCAGAAAGGGGATTTTATGGCAGCAAATAGAACTGTGCTCATTCCCTCTAAAAACAGATACATCCCTACTGGCTACACTGTTCCTGCTCCCAAATCTACCAATCAGAATTCCTTCCTCCTGAGAGAGAAAAAATGAGAGGGTGTTGAGAGGTCAACAGTGTTATGCTAATTGATATTTCTCCACTTGGGAACATGGAAGTCAAGAGAAAGGGTGTCCCCAGCCTTCTTTAACTAACAACAAACAAATTCAGCCATGATGATAGCAACTGCCATTTATTAAGCACTTACTATGGTGAGGCACGGAGCAAAGTGTCTACACGTGTATTTTTACATATATTCTCTAATTGCATTCTCACAATAATCTCAGGAAATAAGCATCATTATTATCTCCATTTTATGTATGGAGTAACCTACCCAAGGTCATATAGCTAGGAAATGGTGGAGCTAGGACTTGAACATTGACTCCAAAAGCCATACCCTTAGAGATAGCATTTTTTATAATAAATTTATTTTTCATTGGTGTTCAATTTACCAACATACAGAATAATACCCAGTGCTCATCCCGTCAAGTGCCCCTCTCAGTGCCCGTCACCCATTCACCCCCACTCCCCGCCCTCCTTCCCTTCCACCACCCCTAGTTCGTTTCCCAGAGTTAGGAGTCTTTATGTTCTGTCTCCCTTTCTGATAGATATAGCATTAGCATAGTGAAAGGTTGGGACTAGCATTGGGCTGCCAGATTTTTTTAAAGATTTTATTCATTCATTCATTCATTCATTCATTCATGACACACACACACACACACAGAGAGAGAGAGAGAGAGAGAGAGAGAGAGGCAGAGACACAGGCAGAGGGAGAGGCAGGCTCCATGCAGGGAGCCCAAAGTGGGACTCGAGCCCAGGACTCCAGGATC